TGGCATCATTTTAGACACATTTTATCTAAAAGTTTACCCCTGACGCTGGACGGTGTCATTGGTAATGGTGACACTGTCCGATTAGATTTTTAATTTTCTACACACTATAGGTATTTTTAATTCTGTATAAATCTTTTCATTGTTTTTACCGGTTGTTTGGCGCAGATAGCTTTGCTGCTTTGCGCCATAAAGCACCAACCAACCAACCACTTGTAACAGAAATTTAATAACGGTACCATGATTAACACACAAATAAGCTTGTACAATTACACGGTTAACCAGTTGGTCGTGTAACTGAATATACTTGATAAACTTGGTGATTGAATCCTTCACTTTGACTGTCACTGTACAAACCAAAAACTGCCTCAATGCTTAACAGGTTCTCGTATTTATAATATGGCATTGTTTCTAGACAGTTCGCGAGTATTCTGGATCGCTAATATTTACTCATTTGAGATATTTTAGGACTATAAAACAATATTTTTTGATGCCAAAACGTTATGACGAATAGAAATACAACAGTGTGTGCTCTCTCGTGAACTGTATTGAAAATTATATTCCACAAAATTAAGTAAAACTGGTTTAAAATTGCACATTTTGTTTGAATATGACAATAAATATGAGAATTAATCATCAAGACACGTATTTTTGCTGAAAATTATGTTTTCAGTTTGATTTATATTGTTGAAATGATCTTGTTCTACGTAACTCTCAATTATGTTTTAAAACTATTTCATCTACACAAAAACTGTTTAAACTAATCTAAAAATGGCTAATTTGTTAGATTTATTCACTTACATTCAGAATACCTAGTTATATACATGTGCTTTCTGATGTTTTTGTCGTGCTTAGGCTGTTAACTTAATAATTAAGTCATTAACTTAGTAAGGCTACAAAGCATTTTGAGCGTTGTATATGGCGAATAACTCATTAACTGTGTAATTATTATAATTTATAAATATTTATAGTCTGCTGCGTGTAAAATAATATTTCTTTTCTAGTGGAGCTATAAGATAAGATACAATAAAATATCACGTAATATCACTGTTTTATCAGTTATTCATTCGTACTCACGATTTTGGTTTCAGTGATTGCCTGTGGTTTTCCCCTTTAAAATCATTCGCTTATATTGTTTTTGCCTCCGCTTAGTCTCACGCTCACCAAGATTTCCCATGTCGCGATGTTGTATTGACCAAATGTTGCTTCGGCGCAGACGCTGTACAGCCATTTCATTTACAGTATTTGAACTAAGGCTGACATGAGGATGTGTGTGTATTGTTGAGTTAGAGGATTCATCATTTCAGTTGTCTTCCTCCCCCCCCCCCCAACTTACCCCCTTTTAATCTCATTCATTCCTTTATATGACGTTGTGATGTTTAGTGCCAAACTAAATGGCAGGTGTATAACAGAACTGAAAGATGAAGGATGTGGACCATTATTGTGTGGTACGAGGCTTAGATAACAGAAGTGATACTGATATTCCGGGCGTCGTCACTTTGTTGTACTCCAGAGCAAGTACAGTGTTGTCAGATCCTACAGATTGTAAGTGGTTTATTCCGAGTTAGGTTGCGTACAGATATTTAAAAAAATAGTTGTTATTGTGATTGATACTAGAGTGTACTAACTTCTCTTAATTTCAGTTTTACTATTTGTGCGTGCAAGTTATGGTTAATGTTGCTGTTTCCAATGTTAATTTGGTTGAACTTGAACGTGTTAAAACTTTAATAATCTAGTAATAGTCTAAGTTTAAAATACACCCACTTGTGACAGAAACTCTGAATGCTAGAAGTTCATATTTTACAAAACATGTCATAAGTGATATATTTGAACTTAAATATTACTTATTGTTCAGAATATTTTAAAGTAAGTATTTCTTTAACCTTTATTCCATCTATATGCATCTTTAACTTAGAATAAGTTAGTACTATCAAACCGTTCAATGTCACTGCCCATTTGAAGTGGAAATACAGTCAAAATCAAAAGAATTGTTTTAAAATACAATAAAAGTCTGATTGCAGGTTTGTAGCTTGTAATCAAGTTAGCACCTGTTTTTTATGCAGCTATCTAGCATCAGAAGAACATGTACATTCTACTAGTGAGATGCAAACATGGTGTTTTATAGTTTCCTGATATGTTTGTAAACAAGTATCATTATACATAAATGTGCTATATAGTGATATCATTAAAATTCTCTGTGAAAGGAAAGATTTGACTTATTTTATACACTGTAAACAAAATTCTGGGCTTGGGGCAACTAAATGTAGGTCTTGTTGTTAACATCAATGTTACAGAGCTTCATCTTTATATATCTACTAGCGTATAGCTTGTCAAAAATGACTGCATAAGTAGTACCACCCCCACCCCCATAGTATAGCCTAACTTAACATTTCATAGCTAACTGAAATAAATAATTTTTGTGAAATCAAGCTTGACTAAAAAAGAGGCAGAAAAGTGCAGTCGAGACAGTCAAACATCGGTATATTCCTATGTGAGCCAATCAAAATATGAAATAAATTGTGGTGTATTCATAGAATAATTATTGGTAAAAATCAGTTAGATTAACAACCTTTAATATATAGAAAAAACAGTGCATTTTGGTAACACTATGCAATGGCTTTTATGCTGTGTAGTTTAGCAAACAAAAGTATAACATAATATTGTTATTAGTCTATGTACTGAAAGTATAAAATTAAAGGTATAGACAACAAAACTGGAAAAATATTTAATTTCTTAATTTAGTCTCCATTGATTAAAAGAGCTTTATTTTTTGTTTAAAATGTTAGCAATATAACAGAAAATAGATTAATTCAGAAACAATTTAATGAGTTTAAAATTGAATTGGTAGTTTTACTTTCATGATAAATTTTATATACTTGGTTCTAGGCTAGGTGATCCAACACTCACTACACTTATAACGTTTCATGGTACCCCCACATGGCCCCCTTGCACCTCTGTCACTAAAATTGTAATGGGCAGACAGTAATTGAGCTATTTTATCTGAATAAATGCATTTTGTCTTTTGTGACTCCTCCTTTTTTCGAGACATCACACTCTTGATAGAATGCAAATATAATAATATCATGTAAAATAATAGTACACCAGCATGTAGGAATATCTGTAATGTGATAAAGATGACATCTTGTCTAAATCATTTATTTGTCAGTGTGATGTTGGATGATATAAATCAAGTGAATCATCATAAAGTTGATTTGTTATTCACAATATATGATACAAATATAGCAAAGCAACAGCTCTAGAATAAACACACTATGTTAGAAGTAAAGTAGAAACAGGAAGACTGAACACAATAGAAGAGATGTGTGCAAGTTATACATACATAGAAATTAAAACTTAGTTTTATTATAAAGAAAGAATTATAGAAATAGGAAGTAGACTAATGTAATTTTTATTGTTGAGTTTGTATACATGTACACATGGGAACTTTGAAAATTTCTTTGAAAGCTTTGATGTAGCTGTGCAAAAATAGTTTGATTCTATTCTCAACCAGTCTATCAGTAGCTATTTTCATTATTTCCTAGTTTTTAAACAGCAGATGGTAAATGCACAAGTAGAATAGTATTAAAATAGAACATAGTATTGTGTTAGACAGTTAAAAGAAAGATAAAAACACATACAAAATAAAAGAATTTTACAAAGATACTACAGTACTTTCAATGTAGCTTTAGTAACACCAGACATTGAAATTCCCTGAGGGCGCTGGTGGTCAGGAGACAATCCAGTTTAAAGTGACCTTTGGAGATAAATGAACATGAAACATTATTATACGTGTGCAGTTCTTTGTTTTGTATGTTAGTTTAGCCTTCCAAATTATTATGATGGTTTAAATCACTCATGCTTTTTTTTAATGTCTTTTATGTTAAAGTGATTCTTATGTCTGTTTCTTCCAGTTTTATCCATGTAAACTTCTTTACAAGATTGACAAGGTAACATTGTAAACGCATATTTTATCTTCCAGTGTGGACTTGTTTGAAGTTAGGCTATTTTGAATGATATTAAGATATTTATAAATTACTTTAGACTTCATTTTCATGTTGTAGTTGATACAAAGTAATGTGGGCATTTTAAATTACTTATATTGGATATTGTAATGGTAAAGATGTTTTTAATTTCTTTTCCTAGAGTTGACATGTATTCTGTAGGCTATTGGAAACCTTGTAGTCAGGATAGATATTTTCATAGTTTTGTGATGTTACGAAAAAAAAGTGCAACTTGGAGGATTTATCTGTTCTATTTATCCCCCCCCCCACCAAAAAAAAAATCCTTTTCTCTTTCAAATCTAAATTTGTTAGTGCTGTAAAGATAGTTGATGTTGCTGAAAAAATATTAATTCCTTATCCTTGTTTACCCAGGACTGAGCATAGCCTAGAGATTAGCATTCCTGGTCTATGAATTCTAGTATTTATGGTTTGTATCTTGCTGCTGCATTTTGAGGCCTGAGGTGCACTATAAGAGTGATGGACAAATCTCTCTATTCAGTGAGATAAGAGTAATCCAAGCATTGATGTTGTTGACTAGCTACCTTCCTTCTAGTTCAGACTTCAGTTATTCACAGATAGCTTGTTTGTACCTTTGTGCAAAAATTGAGAGACAAAACTAACATTTGTGTGACCAAATGGAGATGCATCATTACAATATTGAAACTTAGGAGTCATTGTAATTTTTAATGCATATTGAAGGGAGCAGTTCATTTTCAAAATACTCCATAAACATGTTGCGTAGTATTATAGAAAGTGAGTTTTTCCATTCTTTACTTTTATCAAAAAATATTATCCCAAACAGTGAACATATTTTTAACACAATCCTTGATACAAAAGATGAAGGTATTAATCAGGAAAGGAGGAACTGTGTTGAGTGGTGAGCACATTTTTAATTCCTGCTAATAAGATTGTTATATCTTAATGAGCTTCATCAAATAATGAATTTTTATTTAGAACAAATGATTTTGAAGAATCCTAAAAATATTATTAGTAAGGAAGGAAAATATTTTATTAATTAGTTTCTAAACAATAGTGTATTTCAACACCCATCCTGTTAGACATATAAATTCTTGAATTTTCTCAGACGTATGGAAATCTCTAAAAATTTATTAAACATTCCTTTAAATACTAGCAAGATACTGTTTTGAATCTGTTAATTTCTTTAGGTGTTTTTATTTATTTATTTATTTAAATTCACTAATCACACAAAAATAAACCCTTTGAGTTTCATAGCTTTATGTGAAACTATTACTTTTTCTTTGATGGATAGTTTAGGTAGAGTTTCCATCCATATTGAATTGACTTTGAAATGAGTGGCTACATGTTCTTTGTTCCTAATGCTTACATAACAGTCCCTCATCACACATTTATGGCACAATAAATCAACATCCAATTAACAACTTTTAAGATATTATGAAATGAGAACAACATTTAACAGAAGAAAAATAAAAGAAGCATTAATTATTTGTGAACAAAAACCTAATTCAAATCAAAACATAGGTGTCTCTCTATGCATTTATGCATTCATTGTCTTTATCATTAAAGTCTCTCAGTACATTATGCTCATTTGTATTAGTAGCATAACCACGATTTGCCTGTACATAATATACATGTATTCTTGATAACTTGATCAGGAGATCTTTGTTGCCTTTTCTGTTGCATATTTCGACCCATTAATACATTTTCAGATTCTTTATGAAATTATATCTTTCATAACAAATCAGTACTATTTAAGTAATATCTACCTTATATTAAATTGTTCAGTTTACATTATTTAGTTCTATGTTTGTGAATTTGGCTATTAGAATTATCTATGCAAACAATTTTTATTAAGAAGTAGAGTAAATTGTAAATGAAGTGCCTGCTCTATAAAAACTCTTACCACATGATCTATTTTCACCCAAATGGTAGAAGCAATATTAAAATTCAGTAAATTGTAAATGAAGTGCCTGCTCTATAAAAACTCTTACCACATCATCTATTTTCACCCAAATGGTAGAAGCAATATTAAAATTCAGTAAATTGTAAATGAAGTGCCTGCTCTGTAAAAACTCTTACCACATCATCTATTTTCACCCAAATGGTAGAAGCAATATTAAAAAAAAAATTCCTAAAGTGAACAGGAATCCCATAGGTTCTGAAACAGTTGCAGGTTGATGTACTATGTGAATTTTTTTTGACAGGATGAGAGGGAGCTACGTGTGTTTCTATCTTGAGAGCATGCAAGTAAAATGAAAGACTTATTGTAGAAATTTACAAGAGCATATCCTACTCATGGGAAAACATTTGTTTTGTGCATGACATTGTTAGGATTTATTTAAGCCAGATTCCAAGGGGCTTAGCTCATAGCTTTGGTATTTTTAGTACCTAGCATCTCATTTGGGGGTGTAAACCTATATTTGGACATTGCTTCACATAAGTAAGGACCAGCAGTGGGATAAATGTGTGATATATATTTACAAAGAACTTTATAAATCTTTTCTTTTGAAGTACTATGTACATGGGAAATTTAATAATTATACTGTTAATTTGTGTAAGTAGAAA